GTTTGTTGGCCTCAAGTATGTCTTCTTTTGTAAAGTATCTGTTCATATCCTTTGCCCACTTTTGAATGGGCTTGTTAGTTTTTTTCTTGTAAATCTGTTTTAGTCCTTTGTAAATTATGGATATCAGCTCTTAGCATTTTTCATCCACAGAGACAATGAATACAGAAGGCTTTAGGCTGAAAAGAACTTGGTCATTTTCAGACCAGGCATAAGGTCCAGAGTGGTGGAAGCTCATTGGCTGGCTGTGGAGGATGGATTATCATGGGAAAAACAGGCAGGCCAGGCCAGTCAGGAGGCTTTTCTTACACCCAAGGGAGTGGATGATGGTGTGGATGGCATTGTTTGAAGGCAGAAAAATAGCAGACTGTAAGGAGTGTGGGTGGCAGAAAAAGAGGAATTCATTTTCCCTGAGGCTGGCATTATTTACTGTTGCTAGGAAGACTGGAAATGACATGATTTGGAAATAGGTACAGAAAGACCCAGCATTTTCTTTTCACCGTGTTTGAGTTGTCTGTTACCGTACAGACAAATATCAGGTAGTCAGGTGGCACGACCCTACTGCATGAGCAAGGTAGAAATGGAGACCCCTCAACATGAACATGGCATTTTAGGCTAGTATTAGAAATGGATGAGATCACTTAGCGGAAAGTGGAAATAAAGAGGAGATATTGGAGTTGGACCTGAGGTCCGCCAATTTAGAGATAAAATGGAGGAAGATGAATTAGTGAAGGAGAGGCCAGAGGTGGTGGGGGAAACTAGGGTCAGGTCCCCAGGGTGTTGAAAACCAAGAAAGAAAAGTTTCAAGGAGGGAGTGATCAACCTAATGGGGTGAATGAGAGCTTCAAAAGGAGAGGAGAGAGTGGTATTCATTGGTTTGACTTAGATCATAGTTTTTTTAACCATGAGGTAAAATTATTTACCAAAAAGTAACACATCTTGACTTAGTTTGCCTTTTAAATGAATTTATTTCATAGGAACTTGGCTTTATAGAAAGATATAATTTTATTTTCAGTGTTCATTCTACTACTGTCTTTGGAGCTGTGTGAATTTTGGACTTTTGGGGTGTTTTTGAAAATTCTATGAAGTAGTATTTGTTTTGTTTTTACGACGGAGTCTCACTCTGTTGCCCAGGCTGGAATGCAGTGGCACGATCTCAGCTCACTGCAAGCTCCGCTCCCCAGGCTCAAGCAATTCTCCTGCCTCAGCCTCCTGAGTAGCTGGGATTACAAGTGTCCACCACCAGCCCTGGCTAATTTTTGTATATTTAGTAGAGACAGGGTTTCACCATGTTGGCCAGGCTGGTCTTGAACTCTTGACCTGAAGTGATCCTCCTGCCTTGGCCTCCCCGAGTGCTGGGATTAAAGGCATGAGCCACCTCGCTCGGCCTGAAGTAATATTTGTAAAGTGCTTTTCTTAGTGCCTGGCATGTAGTAATTGCTTGATAAAAAGTGATGTTGAGTTTTTGGGAGGGTTAGTAAACTATATTTGTTCTTCCCTGCCTAAGTTCTTACCAAATGAGATAGGCTTGGAGGTCATATAGATAAAGGTTGAGAGGTCAGCTTTGTTACCAAGCAAAGTAGGTGAGAGAATATGGCTTTGCCTTCTACCCTGACATTAGACAGACCAACCCACTCACCCAGTTTGAGGCGGCGGTGCCAGCCTGCCACTGTTGGAGTCTACCTTTAAGTACATGGTGAACAGAGCCTAGTCAATGTGTGAGTCCTAGAGGAAAGTAGGCACATCCCAGAGGAAAAGAGGAAGGAATGACAGCCCAACATGGCAGCTGTTTTTTACACGGCTGAAATACACAAGCCTAGCCGTTCCTCCACCCTTGGGAAGAATGTATGTGATGATGCTGAGAGGCTCACGTGGCTCTCTGGTGAGTGTTGCTTGCTGAGAGTGTTAGTGACATAAACGTTTGTTCAGCTTGACCTTGGAAGAGCGCTTTGCAAGCATTTTCCTCTAATGAGAGCCACCATCAAAGGGGATTTGTTGACCACTCTTTACAGATTTGTGAGTCAGACTCTGTGCTCTTATTGTGATCTCATTTAGAAAGAAATTAAGCAGTACTAAAAAGTTTTCAACCTTTCATAATTCAGAAAGTGTTAGAAACCATTTTTTAAAAATACATTTGCTAATATATACTTTGGCTACCTATAAAAATGATTTGAGTCCATATATAACAATCTGTATAAAACAAGAAAATTAAAGATAAAACTAGAATGATAAAAAAGGATTATCATAAGAGAGACTTATTCTATTGGAAACATGAGGTTACTCTGTGGAAATGTTTATTTAAACTTCCTGTCTAGTAAAATACAGGTGTCACTGGGTATACTCTGAGACATAGTAAAGTACAGGACATTCATTTCTTTCTATCACCAGAGTCAGTGATTATCACTTGGCTTGCATTGTATGATTATTTCCATGAAGTCTACTTTTTAGTAGACTACAGATGCTCCTCGACTTATGGTGGGATTATGGCCAGATAAACCCATTGTAAGTCACAAACATTGTGAGTGGAAAATGGATTTAATGCTGGAAACACAGCAGACAGTCACCAACTTAGAATGGTTTGACCTTACTTTGGTTGCAAGAATGATACTCATTTAGTAGAAACCAGAACCCCATCATGAGACATAAGTTGAGCTCCTCAGCTTAAGGTGGGGTCACATCCTGATAAACACATTGTAAAGTTGAAAAATCCTGCATGGTACCATTGTAAGTCAGGGACCATCTGTATATTGTATCTGTTTATGCTATTTTAGTACTATTTATTATAGTAGACTGTACTATAGTCACTGGTCCCTATTTAAACTCCTTGTAACAATAATAACAAAGTAAAACTATTTTCTCCTTCCTAGTTTTCTAACACTAGAATTACAGTTTATGATAATTTTGTTTAAACTATCCTAACTGGATGGGAAGTAATAAAAAGAAGTAATGAAAATTTCAAAGCTTGGCTTTGACAGTGGCCTAACCGTAAATATCATACAAAAGAATGCTTATAGAATCCCTTGTTGATTTCTGTGCAGCAGCTGTTTAACTGTTTTACCTTGTAACTGACACTGTTAAAATCTCAGAGTTCTATCAGTAGTTATTTTATTTTTTACTGACAGTTTATTAACATGTGTTTATTATACTTTAAGTTCTCGGGTACATGTGCAGATCGTGCAGGTTTGTTACATAGGTATACGTGTGCCATGGTGGTGGTTTGCTGCAGCCATTACCCCATCATCTACCTTATGTATTTCTCTGAATGCTATCCCTCCCCAATACCCCCACCCCCTGCTATTCCTCCTTTAGCTCCCCCACCCCCCAGGCTCCAGTATGTGATATTCCCCTCCCTGTGTCCATGTGTTCTCATTTTTCAACACCCACTTATGAGTGAGAGCATGCAGTGTTTGGTTTTCTGTTCTTGTGTCAGTTTGCTGAGAATGATGGTTTCCAGTTTCATCCATGTCCCTGCAAAGGACATGAACTCATCCTTTTTTATGGCTGCATAGTATTCCATGTTGTATATGTGCCACATTTTCTTTATCGAGTCTATCATTGATGGGCATTGGTTCCAAGTCTTTGCTATTGTGAACTGTGCTGCAATGAACATACCTGTGCATGTGTCTTTATAATAGAATGATTTATAATCCTTTGGGTATATACCCAGTAATGGGATTGCTGGGTCAAATAGTATTTCTAGTTCTAGATCCTTGAGGAATCACCACACTGCTTGGTCCAGATCTGAGTTCAAGTGCTGGGTATACTTGTTAATTTTCTGTCTTGTTGATCTGTCTAATGTTGACAGTGGGGTGTTAAAGTCTCCCACTATTATTGTGTAAGAGTCTCTCTCTTTGTAAGTCATTAAGAACTTGCTTTATGTATCTGGGTGCTCCTATATTGGGTGTGTGTATATTTAGGATTGTTAGCTCTTCTTGTTGCATTAATCCCTTTACCATTATGTAATGCCCTTCTTTGTCTCTTTTAATCTTTGTTGGTTTAAATCTGTTTTATCAGAGACTAGGATTGCAACCCCTGCTTTTTCTTGCTGTCCATTTGCTTGGTAAATCTTCCTCCATCCCTTTATTTTGAGCCTATGTGTGTCTTTGCACGTGAGATGGGTTTCCTGAAAATAGCACACCAAGGGATCTTGACTTTTCATCCAGTTTGTCGGTCTGTGTCTTTTGATTGGAGCATTTAACCAATTTACATTTAAGGTTAATATGGTTATGTGTGAATTTGATTCTGCCATTTTGATGCTAGCTCATTGTTTTGCCCATTAGTTGATGCAGTTTCTTCATAGCGTCAATGGTCTTTACATAGCATAGATAATATGCTGTGAATGCACAGTTTCCATCTTCCCTCATTTTAAGAATGTCAACACAAATCTAAGTGGCTGATAAGACTGCCATTGGTTGGATTGAATGACATTTATAACTGTGAATGTAAAATAGGAGTAAATTTAGCAGAATAAGGTAAATTGGATAAGAGGAGCCTAAATTTTTAAAAAAATCCATTATACCTCCGAAATATTTACAGACTAAATGATATAAAATATTTCATCAAAATAATCTGGGGTGATGATGGGAAGAGTGATAATTGCTGAAGCTGAGTGCCCAGATACATGGAAGTTATTAAACTATTGACTCTTTTCTGTGTATACAGTCATCCCTCCTTATCCTTGGGGGATATGTTCCGTTACACTCCCGGGGATGTCTGGGCCTGCAAATAGTACAACATCCTATATATACTGTGTTTTTTCTATCTGATAACTGAGGCAGCTACTAAGTTACTAACGGGTTGGTGGTTTGTATGGTGCAAAAATTGCAGACAGAGGGATGATTCACATCCCAGGCAAGACAGCATGAGATTGTACTACACTGGCCAGAACAGCTTCACAATTTAAAACCTAGGAGTTGGTTTATTTCTGGACTTTTCCATTTAACATTTTCAGACCATGGTTGACCGTAGAAAACGGAAACCATGGAAGATGAAACCGTGCATAAAGGGAGACTACTGTACTTGAAAGTTTCCGCAGTAAAGAGAAAAGTCATCAGTGACCAACAGTAACTTATACAAATGAGTCAGGAATTATGTGAATTTCTAAGAAATAAAAACTTCATATAGTAATATTCAGAGAATGAAAAAAGTTTTAAAAATTGATATTTGCCAAAATTTAATAGGATGCATGGAGAATAAGTTTTTGTGGGTGTGTAGTAGTAAGTCAAAATAGCTTTCTTTTGAGAGGACATTATTCCATTAATTGCAGGGAGTTAAAATATGAAAGAATGCAACTACAGAAAGACCCCTCCCCCAAAAATATATATATATATATGAGTTTTTTTGCCTAATGTATCTTACAGTAATTGAATTGCTCATATTACACAACTTACTAAAATGGAATCATAATTTTTCATCTTGATTCATTACAAATTTTATTCCACTTAAAAGTCATATTTCGTTCTATGTGGGTTTTTTTTGATGGGGTTGGGGAGAAGACATTCTAAAAAGAAAGATGTATTGTTTAAAGTTCAGGGGCAGAAGAGACTTCGTAAATTGTGGGACTACGTCGCATTGAGCTATATGAAGTTGTTGCTTTCCAAGGTCATAAAAGACCCCCAGATCATTAGTTTTGTATGTTTCAACCTGCATAAAATCCCCTTTTCAATCTTTGTTAGCAAACAAAAATGATTTCTGACTCCTAGACTTCTATAAAACCTAAAAATCCACATAAAGCCTACCTTTTGGGAAACAAATGGAGCCTAAATGTGTCAACTATAATTTTGGAATAAAAGTTTAAATTTAAAAAGTTTTCATAGCAGTCAGGATTAGTATTGTCTCATCTATTAAATTCTAATCTCATAACTGGAAGCGTTAGAAACAAGAGAATCTTAAGGAATAGACAATATGGATGATGTTTGAATAAGTAGGACTGAGACTTATCTAAAAGCTTTTGTTTCATTCAAAAGAATTTATTTTTAAATATTTTGAGACAGTGTTTCACTCTGTTGCCCAGGCTGGAGTGGAGTGGCATCCACGGCTCACTGCAGCCTGGACCTCCCCGGGCTCAGACGATCCTCCCACCTCAGCCTTCTGAGTTTCTGGAACTACAGGCGTGTACCACCATGCCCGGCTAATTATTCTGTTTTTTTTTGTAAAGACAGTATTTCACCGTGTTGCTCAGACTGGTCCCAAGCTCCTGGGCTCAAGTGATCTGCTCACCTCAGCCTCCCAAAGTGCTGGGATTACAGGCTTGAGCCATTGTGCCTCCAGTGAAATTTTAAAATGAAATTTAAAATCCAAAAGAAATTTTAAATGAAGCTCACATGAATGCTACTTTAGGACTTCTGAGTGTTAGCAGCTACTAAAGTCAAGTCTGAATCTTTTTCCATGCTGGGTCCAGTTGGTCTTGAAGAATTTCAGGTATTCCTCTGATGATTTAGGATTGAAAGATATATATCCCTGGAATAGCACACAAGATTGGCAAAGGAAGAACGTAATTACAGTGTTGACAGAGAATGCCCGTAAGATGAGAAAGATTCAAGAGCAAAGATCAGCTGAAAAGACTGATACAGTTTCTATTTCCTGGCTCCTTTATAATTTCTAAAACTTTTAGGGTAGATTTATTCTTTGTCCCTTTACAGAGCTGTCTCAGGCGTAGTCCTGGGTGCTTTCCTCTGCTCTTGGTCTTTGCATGTTACCACGGGCTGATGACATGAGATTAGTGTCTCCAGCCCTGACCTTGCCCCTCAGCTCCGGAGTCATGATCTAGCTGCTATGGCAGGACAGGCAGCAAAACCTGCATTCCATATGTAGTCTCCTAACATTGAGTTATTACTTGTAAATCATTGAAAATGGTGATGAATATAACGTTGGAGTTATTGTTATCTCTACAATGACATTGTAGTTATTATCTCTTCTGTTCTATGAAAAAAGGAATAATAACTATTTCAGAGATAATAATGTGAATATGTAAGAGACAATTCACATCTAACACAAACTAAGTACATTTTTTTTTTTTTTTTTTTTTTTTGATGGAGCTTCGCTCTTGTTACCCAGGCTGGAGTGCAATGGCGCGATCTCGGCTCACCGCAACCTCCGCCTCCTGGGTTCAAGCAATTCTCCTGCCTCAGCCTCCTGAGTAGCTGGGACTACAGGCACGCGCCACCATGCCCAGCTAATTTTTTGTAGTTTTAGTAGAGACGGGGTTTCACCATGTTGACCAGGATGGTCTTGATGTCTTGACCTTGTGATCCACCCGCCTCGGCCTCCCAAAGTGCTGGGATTACAGGCTTGAGCCACCGCGCCCGGCCATACTAAGTACATTTTAAAATTTTCTTCTCAACCTGTTCTCCCCTCTGTCTTTCTCATGTCAGTAACTAATAACCAGCATCTCGCCTAGTTGCTTAGGCCAAAACCTTAGGTGATTTCCTTGATTATTTTTTTCCACTCTCATCCCCTACATCAAATCCATTTCTATCCTATCTTCAAAATGTATTATACCTGAAATTTGTCCCATCTCTCCCATCTATACTGCCACCCCCTAGGGAGTGTGGTCATTTTTCAAGTGGATTACTGAAGTACTTCAGCTGATCTCGTGCTCCCAACTTCATCTACACTAGCCTTCCTTCAGCTTCTTGAACATGTTAAGCTCATTTACCTTTTAGGGCTCTGCTTCCCTCTGCCCCAAGATATTTACATGGCCCCATGATATTTACATTACATCATCTAGATCCTAGCTAGGACATGGTCTTCTCAGGGAGACCTTTATGACCACCTAATAGAAAACAACTAGGGCCAGGCGTGGTGGCTCACACCTGTAATCCCAGCACTTTGGGAGGCCGAGGCAGGCGGATCACGAGGTTAGGAGTTTGAGACCTTCCTGGCTAACATGGTGAAAACTCATCTCTACTAAAAATATAAAAAATTAGCCAGGTGTGGTGGCATGTGCCTGTAGTCCCAGCTACTCGGGAGGCTGAGGCAGGAGAATCGCTTGAACTGGGAGGTGGAGGCTGCACTGAGCTGAGGTCATGCCACAATAGTCCAGCCAGGGTGTCAGAGCGAAACTCAGCCTCAAAAAAAACCCAAAAAACCCAGAACCCCACTTTCTGTCATGTCATTGGTGTTTTCCTTTTTTTCTTGTATTCCCTATTTTTCTTCTTCATAATTGATTTTTGTTTACCAACTCCTTGTAAGTTGCATAAGTGCAGGGAGTGCAGACTTGGTGGTCTGAATCATCCAGTGTGTCTAAATGGGTTCTTTAACAGTGCCTGGCAGATACAAGTTAATACATATTTGTTGACGAGTGTTAAATAACTTAGTGAACAATTTTGGAAGATGCGCAGAGCAGGTGGTTTTTGAACATTTTAACATACAGGGGGCCGGGCATGATGGCTTACACCTGTAATCTCAACATCTGGGGAGGCTGAGGTAGGAAGATCACATGAGCTCAGGAGTTAAAGAGACCAGCCTAGGCAACACAGTGAGATCCTGTCTCTGCAAATAATTAAAAAATTATCCTGGCGTGGTGGCGTGCACTTGTGTCCCAGCTACTTGGGAGGGTCACCTGAGCAGGAGGGTCACCTGAGCCTGGGCGGTTGAGGGCAAGCCATGATTGTGCTGCTACACTTCAGCCTAGGCTATAGTGAAACCTTGTCTCAGGACAGACAGAAACTATATAGGGGATGAGATTTTACATATGCTGTTATGAATAGATAGTACTTTTCATATGATTTAAACATCAAAAAGTACAAACGGTACACAGGGTGGTCTCTTGTCTCCTAATTACTTCATTGTCACGCATCCTGTTTCTAAATGTTTATGCTTCCAGAGAATTTTTATGCATATAAATTCCAACACACAGACACACACATACATGCCCCTGTTGATTTTAATTTCTGTGCTGTCCATCGGTACTTGGTGTATAATAACTACTCTGAAACCTTTGTTTTTATATTTTCTGTATTTGCTAAAATATGCTAAGAAACACGTTTTGTTCCATGAAGAAAAGGAACAATAGATAATGTTTTATTTTTAATGTTTTCTTTCTTGTGTTTTGTGTTTGCTCTCAGCTCCCTGTGCTGTCAGGAATCTACAGGACTTGGCACGTATTTACATTCGACGCACACTTAGAAATTTCATAAATGATGAGATGCAGGCCAAGGGGATTCCTCAAAGGGCTCCACCCAAGAGGAAAAGAAAGAGAGTTAAACAGAGAATTAATACTTACGTATTTGTGGGTAATCAGCTTATTCCTCAGCCTCTAGACAGTGAGGAGGATGAAAAAATGGAAGAAGATAACAAAGAAGAGGAAGAAAAAGATCACAGTGAAGCAATGAAGCCAGAGGAGCCACCTCAAAATTTACTGAGAGAAAAAATCATGAAGCTGCCCCTCCCTGAATCTTTAAAAGCTTACTTGACATATTTTAGAGACAAATAACTTACTTAGGTCAAGAACAAAGAATGTCTACTGATAATTCCTTTAGTCTTGAAAATGTAGCATTTGTTAGGAGTTAAAAGAGAGAATTATTTCTTTCATCAGAGTAAATTATAGTGCAAAAGAGTATAACTTGTGTCAGTAACAAAAATGACGTATTCAGTGATTAAAAGAATCCCTTTTATAAAATCTATTTTTCTTTAAATCTTGGAAAAATGTTTTAGCTCAGAATGATTTCAAAGTGGAATGCAACAGTAGTTAAGACTTGTGTACTATAAATCCTTTTCTGATTCTTTACAGATTTCTGGTGGTGAGGGTTAGATTTAATTTTATATAAGGTTTAAATAATTGTTCAGCTTATATGATCTGAATTGCAGTTGTTTGCATTTCCTCTATGAAAACTTTGTTTATCTAATAAGGAGATCAAATGCTTTGTAGACCTATTTACCTTACTTTTCTTGCAATCACTGTTGCTGGATTGCTGTACATTTATTCTGGGCAATATATGAGTGCAATAGCAATACAAGATATTGAATAATTTAGCTTTAAAAAAATCCCACAAATTTTATGAAATTTTACAGCCCTGCTACTTTTGCTTTTGAATCTCTTGCCAAAAGACATGGGTAAAATATCTGCTTCTCTCATAGAGATTTTTAAGAGCACAGCAAGTGAATTATTAAAATAGAAAGTATATACTATTACTTTGTATGGACCCTTTACATTTTCACTATTTAAAAAAATGAGGTTATCTTAACTCTCTAGACTTAAAAGTATGGTTAGAATTGTTTTTTCTGTAGTTCACTGTATAAAGTATTTGTTTTTTTAAAAAAGCAAAACCATTGTTATCTGTGACTCTTGATAGGACATAGAATGAGTGAATGAGCATGAATGATGGCCCCCCTTTTGGATGGCTCCGTTAAGTAGCAGGGCCAGGGTAGACCTGGTCAGTGGATGCACTTTAGCAGATGGAACTTCTAGTTTATCTGAATATTTATCTTTGACAAGGTAGGGCTGAGCTTGCCTACATTTGCTTTGGATCTTTCTAGTATGGGAAATATTCACAGGAATTATGTGTAGATATCTTTTGTTTTGAAAATCCTGTTCAGAAAACAGTGTAGTCTTTGGGACCCATGCTGTATTCATTTCACTTCTTCCCATATTTTTTGTGTTTCTTTTGGTAAAACTATAATGGTTTTCATTTTTTACTTAATATCACACAGTTAAACTGTTCATATTTGAGCTGTATTGTAGCTTATCAGTGATAAAACAGGTAGTAACTGCCATTTGTTTTCCTAGTAAGGCCTGAAAACAGCCATTCCTTGTTAAGAAATTGTACAATGTAACATACTTACTAGTGTTACATGGATTATATATTTCTTATTGGGAAAAATTTGAGGGTATCATGGACTACCACCAGCATTATTACTGCAGTAGTTGCTCAGATTTTGTCAAGGAATCCCAATCAATGCATAATGAAAGGATTATTATCTCTCGGCTAAGATTCAGATAGTGTTTCAAAAATCTCATCTCCAGTAATTCCACAACATCTAAAAACAAGTGTTTATAATCATGTAAGCATGAAATTGTCCCAAGTAAGTGAGGATATTTTAGTTATGTGAAAGATAGTTTCATGGAAGGTATTTGTTTTATTCCAGTGGCTGGGTTGGTGGAATTGAGGGTATTTCTACAGTTATTCGTAGGTGATTACTAAACTGCTAAGAAATGCCCCATGTCGTTTGTATCTAGGAAAGAAAAAAAAATCAGTTTTCATACTGTCATCTGTCAGAAATGTTCAGTTTGTTTTGAATTAAATGTTGCTTTTGAAGTTTAATCTTGAATTCCTGGTGGCATGTTTTTATATAGAAAACCTGGGGAAAGTTATCATCTGTCTCATCTCCCCTGCTTTTTTCCCCCCCTTTGGTTGGAGCTGCTGTTGAGATGTGTAAAAACACTTATTCTTAAATGATGCTTTTACTATTTAGGAGAGAGTTTTTGTTAAGGGTGTTTTTGAAGATTGGCTTTTCCATATAGTCTTTCATTCTTTGACCCTTGGCAAAGTGTACAGTAGATTTTAATGATCATTGCATATCTGTCATTGAAATGTATCTTTTATGTTTTTCAGTGCATTCATTTTACAGTTGTGACTTTATCATTGACTTTAAGAAGAATAAATAAAAAATGAAAATTAAAGTGAAATCCTTATCTATTAATGCAGATATATTAGAATAAGAATATCTTGGGTTTGGGGTTTGTGTTTTATTTTTTAATGAATTTATGTTTACCTGAGTATGGAAAATTATGCTTTACTGGTGGAAAAGTAGCAAGTAAAGATGAAGTAAAAGTAAGTGAAAATGATGGGTAATATAGTCATGGAATTTTATAGTCAGATAAAACAGTAAGTATCACCTAATTTGGGTGTTTATTTTGCAGATGAAAAAACAGACCTAGAACTATGGCATGTTTTGCCTGAAACATAACAGTGAGTTAGAGACAGAGCCTAAGAGAGTATCCAGCATCAGATCAATCCCAAGAATCCGTCAACATCATAGCTACCCAAGAAGATAATTTAAATCTCTACTGCTTATTGGTCACTATATTTGGTTCTAGTATTAATAAAGAAAAATGTTATTAAAATAGCATACATAGTGGTAAAATAAAATACAAAAAGTACCTGTTGATTTCTAGCTGTTTGAGATGATAAAAGTGCAGCAAAGCTTGTTAAATCGTTGGAAGACTTGGAAAACTATTTTAAATAAACAATTACATATAATTAAGATCGTTCTCCCATGGCCTGACTTTTATGTTTGTCTTCTTCTTCCATTTAGACAATCTCAGTACAGCTATGGATATGCTCAATTATGGTATACAGTTGTCTTTATTTGGACATCTCATTGTCCTTTGACTATTGCCACCTCTGCAAAGTATACAAGTTTTTAAAAATTTATTTCTATAAAATCGTAGGAAAATTTGCAAAATATGAAGTGTAAGAAATAATTTAGTGTACATGCAGGTAGGTACATGTGTGTGTACCCATTGGGTTCAACTAATAGCCTTAGCATCTCCTGCTTGCCCCTTCCCAACCACATCTTAATCCCGCCCTTCTCAGGCGGAGCGATTTGGTGTTTATCATAATCGGCCTTTTTGTTCTCATTGTATTACATGCCTATATCCCTAAACAATTCATCCATGCTAGGATCCTACTGTATGCATTCTGCAGCTCTCTTTTTCATGTTACCTTTCTGAGATTGCCCCATGGTGTGTGTTGTTTCTTACATTCACACTTCACAGTTTATTCTACTGTTGGTGGACATTTTTTGTTCCCTCAGTTCAGTTGTGAACATTCTTTTATATGTCTTGTGACTGTACACGTGTGAGAGTCTGCATAGGGCGTCCATCTAGGAGTAGAATTACTGGGTCGTAGGAAATCGTTTCTATTCACTTTTACCTAGATGATGCAAGTTTACTTCCCAAAATAGTGTAACTATGTGTTTCTTCTAGCAACGTTTAAATGTCCCAGTTATTCTACATTTTCACCTACATGTGACAGATTTTTTTTCCTGTTTGGTAGTGTGAAATATCTTCTTAGTGGACTTTGTTGCTTATGAAGGTTATTTATTAAGGGGGTTTTATCTTCAAGTGTTTCTTCGTTTTAGGTTTCCTTTCTGCAAACTGCTGTTCAAGGGTTTTGTAAATTTTTTATTGGGAGGTTTTTAAAAAAATTGCTTTGTGGGATTTTTTCTGTAGTCTAGATATTATTCCACTGTCAATTATATGTGTTGCAAATATCTTTTCTCAGTTTATAGTTTCTAGAATGTTTATGGTGTCTTTTTGATGAATTGACATTTTCAGTTTTAATTGTCATATTCATCTTCACTCTCAATTTTAAGATCATGGAAATATTAACCTATATTTTCTACAGAAGTTCTATGATTTTGCCTTTTACATTTAAATCTGCATAATAGCTGGAATTGATCTTTGTGTATGGTGAGAAATAATGGTCCAGTTTCTTTTTTTAATTTATTGATCAATTGTTTGAGGGCCATCTTTTGAAAATCTCTTTTTTCTTCTTTGACCTGCAGTGTTAACTTTATCATTGTTTTCATTTATTTTTGCTTTGTGTCTAGGCTTTCTTTTCTGTTTTCTTAGTTTATATAACCCTTTGCCAATACTACACAGTTTTATTTACTGGAGATTTACAATAATTCTTGACCTAGTAAGATAAATCACTTCACTTTATATGCGTGGAGTTTCTTGAACCTTTGGGATTGTAGACTTTAATGTAAATTTCAGAATTGGGTTCTCAGATTACATACACATGCGCACACACACACTCCTCTTTGGGAGTTTCTTGAGAATCACTTTGAATTTGTAGATCATTTTATGCAAGAATTAACATGTTTAAGTCCTCCAGCCCATGAACATAGTAGTTCCCCTTTTTTAGTTAGCCAAGGACGATTTGGCTCTAAGGTCTAATATCTTTTGTCAGATCTAGTTGTAGATATTTTATTTCAGTGATGTAGTTTACAAAATTGTATTTCATTGGTTTCTGTACATTAATTAAATCCAATACTATCTCTTATGATTCTTTTAGGTTTTCTTTATAGTAAATCATATCATCTTTGAATAAATTTTAGACAGTTTTTTTCCTCTGGGTTTTATTTCTTATTTTGCCAGATTTGCCAGTTGTGGCCTCCAGTATAACTGAATAGTGATGAACAAGAGCACTCTTATTTCTTTATTTTAATTTTTTTATTTTTTCATAGGTTATGGGGGTACAGGTGGTATTTGGTTATATGAGTAAGTTCTTTAGTGGTGTTTTGTGAGATTTTGGTGCACCCATCACCAGAGCAGTGTACACTGCACCCTATTTATAGTCTTTTATCCCTTGCCCCCTCCCATGCTTCCCCCCAAGTCCCCAGAGTCCATTGTATCATTCTTATGCCTTTGCATCCTCATAGCTTAGTCCCACATATTAGAGAGAACATAGATGTTCTCATGGTGTTTGGTTTTCCATTCCTGAGTTACTTCACTTAGAATGATAGTCTCCAATCTCACCCAGTTTGCTGCAAATGCCATTAATTCATTGCTCTCTGTGACTGAGTAGTATTCCATTGCATAAATACATACTTCAATTTCTTTATTCACTCATTGATTGATAGGCATTTGGGATGGTTCCATGAGTTTGGTGTTGTCAACTGTGCTGCATGTGCAAGTATCTTTTTCGTATAATGACTTCTTTTCCTCTGGGTAGATACCCATTAGTGGCACTGCTGGATCAAATGGTAGTTCTACTTTTAGTTCTTTATGGAATCTCCACACTGTTTCCATAATGGCTGTACTAGTTTACATTCCCACCTGCAGTGTAGAAGTGTTCCCTGATCACTGCATCCACACCAACATCTACTGTTTTTTGATTATGGCCATTCTTGCAGGAGTAAGGTGATATCGCATTGTGGTTATGATTTGCATTTCCCTGATTACTAGTGATGTTGAGCATTTTTTTCATGTTCATTGGCCATTTGTACATCTTCTTTTTGAGAGTTGTCTGTTCATGTCCTTAGCCCACTTTTTGTTGGGATTTCTTTTTTCTTATTGATTTGTTTGAGTTCGTTGTAGATTCTGGATATTAGTCATTTGTTAGGTGTGTAGATTGTGAAGTTTTTCTCCAACTCTGTGGGTTGTCTGTTTACTCTGCTGACTGTTCCTTTTGCCATGCAAAAGCTCTTTAATTAAGTCCTATATATTTATCTTTGTTTTTATTGCATTTACTTCGGGTTCTTGGTGATGAAATCATTGCCTATGCCAATGTGTAGAAGGGTTTTTCCTATGTTATCTTCTAGAATTTTTATAGTTTCAGGTCTTAGATTTAAGTCCTTAATCCATCTCGAGTTGACTTTTGTATAAGGAGAGAGATGAGGATCCAGTTTCATTCTCCCGTGTGTGGCTAGCCAATTAACCCAGCACCATTTGTTGAAAAGGGTTTCCTTTCCCCACTTTATTTTTTTGTTTGCTTTGTAGAAGATCAGTTGGCTATAAGTATTTGGATTTATTTCTGAGTTCTGTATTTGTTCTATTGGTTTATGTGCCTATTTTTATGCCAGTACCATGCTGTTTTGGTGACTATGGCCTTATAGTTTGAAATTAGGTAGTGTGATGTCTCTGGATTTGTTCTTTTTGCTTAGTCTTGCTTGACTTTGTGGGCTCTTTTTTGGTTCCATATGAATTTTACAATCTTTTTTTCTAATTCTGTGAAGAATGATGGTGGAGCCTTATTTCTTATTTTACTGCTTTCATATGGTCATTTTAAAATAGCTTGGTGTGTTTACACAAAATGTTCTGCAGATGTTCATTGTAGTGTTCTACTAATGCCAATTGATTAAGTGTTAAAATTGTGTTGTCAAAATTCCATATAGCCTAAGTAAATTTGTGCATGTGCCCACATCAACTTTGGAGAGAGACTTGGCAAAAGCTCTCATTTTTATGGTAGAAAGTCAGTTTTTTTCTTGTAATTCTTTTGATTTGTGCTTTATTTTGGTGTGATAATATGTAAATTATGTTCATTTGGTGATTTGAACCTTTAACATCATGTAGGAGCCTTCTTTAATTTTAGTAATATTCTTTGCTTCAAAGTCTATTTTGTCTGATACTCATTTCGCAGTTTTCTTGTGGTGAGTAGTCACCTCATTGATCTTTTTCTATTCTTATTTTCAACCTGTTTTTTTCCTTATGTTTTAGGTGTGTTTCTTATAAACCACATGTAGCTGAGTTTCTTAAAAGTTACTCTGACAGTCTTTGAATTTTACTTGAAGCATTGCATTCATTTCATTTTCATTGTTACTATAGAGTCATATTTTGGGCTATACACCTATTCAGTTTTTCTGTCTCTGTTTTTTAGGATTGATTATTGTTTATTTCTTGTCTGTTACTAGTTTGAAAGTTAATATATATATATATATATTTTTTTGCTCTGTTAGTGATTACTCTCTACATTTTAATGCACTCTCCTAACAAACTTCTGAAGTTAGTTACTTCCCTCTCCTTCTTTTACGTGATACAAGGCACTTTAGAACACTTCAATAGACTCTGGAGTCATTACAAGGTATTGATTGACTTACCACCTATGCAACTTACGACCACTCGACTTTATGACCACAATCGCTAGCCACGACTGCCTCGCGTCTAGCAGCGCAAACGTTGCCCAGCTGGGCGTACGACAGAGCGGACAAGCTTCTGGCAGCACTACCATCTCCGCGTGCACCATTTCAACTGTACATATAGCCTACTCAACTAACGACCGAATCGTGTTATGATCGGTCCGCGGTCCCAACTGTGGTCATAAGTTGAGCACTAGCTGTACCTCGAAATTATATGCTAGTCTCTTGTGCCTGAATTATCGAATTTTAAGCCCCTGTGGTACACCATAGCTATTATGTATCTAGCCAATGCTTAGTTTTACTCCCATTTACACTTGTTTTTGTTCATTATTCCCTCTTCATTTTGGACCATCCTAATTTCCTTTTGCCTAAAGTACATCCTTTCAAATTTTTTTTAAATGAAAGACTAGCTCTTTATTTTTTTCTGTCCGAAAATTTTTTATTTTGACTTTATACTTTAAAAAGTCCATTAATAATGTTTTCTCTAAAACACAAGAGTTGTTATTTCTTTGCATTCTGGCTTTCATTGTGCCTATTAAGTCAACTGACAGTAATTTCTCTGAAGGTCATCTGTGTTTTCTTTTGATCTGCTTTAAAGATTTTATCTTGACATTGTTAATATTCTTGTCTTGGCGCTGTTAATTTTCTGTAGTTTCATATAATGTGCCTGGGTATTAATTTCTTTTCGTTTGTTTTGCCTGGTCTTGTAGCTTTGTGAGTTCGTCTCTTTCATCAGTTCTAGAAATTCTTGGCCATGTTTTTTCTTACAAATATTGTCTCAGCCAGGGAAAATGTGGCACATACACACCATGGAATATTATGCAGCCATCAAAAACGATGAGTTTGTGTCCTTTGTAGGGACATGGATGAACCTGGAAACCATCATTCTCAGCAAACTGACACAAGAGCAGAAAATCAAACACATGTTTTCACTCATAGGCGAGTATTGAACAATGAGAACACATGGACACAGGGAGGGGAGCATCACACACTGGGGTCTGTTGGGGGGAATGGGGGTGGGACAGTGGGGTTGGGGAGTTGGAGAGAGATAGCATTGGGAGAAATGCCAGATATAGGTGAAGGGGAGGAAGGCAGCAAATCACACTGCTATGTGTGTACCTATGTGACAATCTTGCATGTTCTTCACATGTACCCCAAAACCTAAAATGCAATAAAAAAATTAAAACAAATATTGTCTCAGCTTTGTGTTGCTCAGCATCAAAATCTAGATTTCCTTAAATAGTATCTTCCTACCATGAATCTTCTCTTTTGTTGCTTTAAATCTGGTGTTAAACCTTTACGTTGAGTTGTAATGCTTGTTATATTTTAATTTCTTGTTCTGTAGTTTCAGGTCTGCCTGGTTGTTTTTATAGGCTTCTACTCTGATTAATATGTTCAACTCTGTAAACACACTGGCTAATTCTACTCTATGTTGGATTCAAGTATCTGAACCCCTTAAAGTGGGCTCATGCTCGTAAGGTTTGATGGCTAGCTTTCATAGCACTGTTTCTTTTGTATTTTGTGGGTTTTGACTGAGCTTGTATTTTCGACCTTTATCTGTGGGATTATTAGAGACCCAGGTTGTTTTTGCCAGGAGCACTGCCAGCTCACGACCTTTTTAAATGCTCCACTTAAGGATTTTTCTACCATCCAAGCAGAGTGACCCAAAAATCCATGTGAAGTCTGCCTTGGAGTTACCACACCTCCAGGAAGATTTGTTAGCTGCCTCCCCATAGCAAGCTTTGAAATAGGTCATTTTCTTTGTGTCTTCTGGGTTGTGTAGGTGGGTGGGTGGAAGGGGAGGCAGGGGGCAGAATTGTTTCTAGTTCATCGATGCGTATGATATGGCAGTGGCTTTATACAGGAGATTTTGGAAACAAAACTCTCTTCTAAGAAAGGGCCCTCACACCTGTAATCCCAGCACTTTGGGAGGCCGAGGCCGGTGGATCACGAGGTCAAGAGATCGAGACCATCTGGTCAACATGGTGAAACCCCGTCTCTACTAAAAATACAAAAAATTCAAAAAATTAGCTGGGCATGGTGGCTCGTGCCTGTAATCCCAGCTACTCAGGAGGTTGAGGCAGGAGAATTGCCTGAGCCCAGGAGGCGGAGGTTGCGGTGAGCCGAGATCGCGCCATTGCACTCCAGCCTGGGTAACAAGAAAAGAAGGGGCTTTTCTTTTTCCTGTATCCCTGCTATTCCAGTTCCTGCAGTTCTTTTCACACGGTTGAGCAGACAGTCTCAAGCTGCACCAGGCTTCATTTTTACCCACCTTGCTGGTTTCTTATGTTCACTTCATTTTTTTGACCCTTGTGTATGTCTTACTGATTTCCTCAGTAACAGCACATCGATGCATTTATACAATCTTAAAAGGATTTTAATCTAGCATGTGTAGTTGTTTTTAGCTGGACAGTTGTCCTAAGACACTGTCCCAAAGGACTTGTGGTCATGAGCAGGTCATGCCTTGCAGTTCTAATCAGTAGATTTTTTTTTTGTCTTAATTCAACGTAAATTTAGGTTTCTAAAGTGGAAAGCTTTTTGTATTTTTTTTTTCTAGAAAAAAAAAGTTGTATAGGCTGGGTGTAGATGGGTCATTCCTGTAATCCCAGCACTTTGGGAGGCCAAGGTGGGCGGATCACGAGGTCAGGAGATTGAGACCCTCCTGGCCAACATGGTGAAACCCCATCTCTACTAAAATACAAAAAAATTAGCTAGGCATGGTGTTGCACGCTCCAGCTACTTGGGATGCTGAGGCAGGAGAATCGCTTGAACCCAGGAGGCAGAGGTTGCAGTGAGCTGAGATTGTGCCACTGCACTCCAGCCTGGCGATAGAGCAAGACTCCATCTCAAAACAAAACAAAAAAATGCTTTAAGAACGCAAGATTTTTTAAATAATTTAAACTGAAAACGGCACAAAAACTTGCAGGATTTCTTCCTTTTGACCTAATTAATGTCCAGCCTTAGCCCAATGACTTTTAGAACTGCACATTGCCTTTATCTCCCTCCTGAACTTACATATTTCTAAGCCCCTACTCTTTTAAAATCTGCTTTATGAATGCAAGTTATTTTTATATTTTCTATATTTCATTTATGTTTTTTATTGTATATTTTGAACTGCAAACAAGGCACAAACCTGCACGTCCTATGTCCTCCAAATCCCAGCCACTGCCAAGAGCATAGTAATTATTGAAAGGGATTGAAAGGAATAAATTTACTTTTTTTGGCTTTATTAGTATAGTTAGACAATAAAAGTCCTGTGAATAATGTCAAACATAAAGTTTAAAATTAATCATTCTTGTTCATGGAGATTAGTGTTTTAGATCTTTTTACATTTTAATCCCCCAAATCACATATTTAAATGTGAACATTTTGCCACAAGAGGGCAATATTCACCTACAGTAGAACGTAAAGGGGCTGAAAAATTACTGCAGTGAGAAGGACAAACTCACTTTCCTCCTAAGACTGGTCTACTAGTCTGATCATCTGGGGCCAGTTTTCATTTGTTTTTCTATTACTTTTAAATATTTAAAACATTTTTGTTTGAAAATGTTAGTCCTCAAAGCCAAAAATCTGTTTAAAAATACCTGTTTACAGAATGACCAAAAGATAGATGTTTTACTAGATAACATATTTATTAAATCTTCACACATGTCCCCAAAGGGGGTCGCTCACTTCAGGGAAACGTGGCCAGTTCAAACCGCTGATGAAAACACTGCAGCCAGGGGCCACTGCTGCCAGCGCCTCCCGAGGGCGCTCGCACCTGTTGGACTTCGCATAGACACACCTGCGTTTGTCCGTCAATTGTCTCCTCTACAAGGAAGCATGTGAGTTCGTGGGTTTAAGCATATACACTTAAATGTTGATTATTAAAGGAAGAAATCAGAAGTAGCCCTTTTGAGTCTTACATGAGTGAAATGTGTTGGGTTTCAGAAGCAGAATATAAAGAAGGAAATGTAACCATTTTTTATGAGCATAGTTTGGAGTAAGGAATATGTACACCTAGATGAACTGATTAGAACTCTGCCTGCCCTTCAGATAAAAAAGAAGAAAAGCTGTTTTGCATTGTTTCCATACATTATTTGGGCTACAAAAGGACAGCTAGGGGCAAAGAGGCCGGGGTTTTCATCCAATGTGCGGTGGAGCCAACTTTGGAAAAGTCTGTTTGCATTACGCTGCCTAAAACACACCGTGTTTTAGAAAGAGGCTTTTGCATTGACAAGCTTCTCGTCCTCGCCTCTGGGAGTTTAGTGCCTCCTAGAGCAGCTTGTGCCCTCAGCCCTGTAATGCGATATCCCTCCTCCTGGATTGGCCGGAGGGGTGTCCTTTCCCTGGGAGCCGCTCCCCACCACTGCTCCCAAACTTGGCTCAGCCCCGCAGCCACCATCACCACCACGGAGGGTGCTGCTGCAGCTGAGCTGCTGCTCTCCCTTCGGCTGCTGCTGAGCGTCCAGCAGCGAATGCAGCGATGGAGCCCAGACTGCTCTGCTGGACCACTCTCTTTCTGCTGGCCGGGTGGTGCCTGCCAGGGTGGCCCTGCCCCAGCCGGTGCCTCTGCTTTAAGAGCACCGTCCGCTGCATGCACTTGACGCTGGACCACATTCCTCAGGTGCCACAGCAGACCGCAGTCCTGTAAGTGCGCACAGATTTCCCAGAAACCCTGTTCTACAATGCTTCATTGCTTCTCTGCTAGAACGCCCTGTCCTCCTTTGAATGTACGATTCCTAATGCCCTCCCTGCTTTTTTACTTAGAAGAGGCTTTTCACCTTTCAAACAATTTCATGGCTCTGCTCTGTTAGACTAGAAAATATGAGCAATGATGAGTTGACATAAATATATTTGTTTTGGGTTCAGTTCTCTTCCAGCATCTTCCAGAACTTACCGTTGAGAATTCTCATCTTCATCCTTCCTTCAGTAATTTTCCTGCATACTTTCTCAGTTTACCCCTTTTCATCCTCTACTCCCAAATCTTTGGGTCTCTCAATTGGTCAGCACGGGTCTGTCCCATTTTGGAAGGAACTAGTTTAACTTTACAGCGTGCTTTCAATCGATCATGTGCTGGCAAATTGTTAGGCTTTGTACTGTGTGTCCCTCCTGGGAGGGTGAAGTCCTGAGTCCCCAGCACTGGAAGCACTGTCTGTCCCCAGAACAGACCCTCAAAGGGTCCAGTAGAGTTCTTGAATGCTTAAAAGCCTTGCGGAAGCAGCCGCTTAGACTAATCGGCATCTAGGAGGCATTATGGGATAGGAGGGGAAACCAGAATTTGGAAGCCAAACAGGTCTGAGTTCAAATGCTACCTTCTCATCTTGCCTATTGAGATAATAAACCCAAATATTTTAATTTATTTAGATTAAATCATAATTAGATAATTGGAAGGGCAAATCACCACAAAAGAAGAGAAGGCTCTGTTTCTAGGGTCTATTTTTAAAGGAAAAAAAAGAACAAATTCAAAAATATTAAAAAGTAAAAAACAGAAGAAAAGGAAAAATGCCGAAAGACACACACTGAAGAGGTTTCCTGCTCTATAATAAATGTTTTGTGGGTCGTGTCATGTTCATAGAAGACAGAACTGCTGGCAGTGCTTCAAGTCAATTTGTGGGCAGAGGTAAATAGCTTCAAATTCCTGGAATTTTGAGATATAAATGTTTAAAAGGATCAATGCCACACATTTGTCAGTCATAATCATGAAATGAGGACTTGGTAATTAAAAGTCCAATTTGATGGTATTCCCATAGAAAATGACATATATGATCCGTAGATTTTCATTTCTGTAAAGCATTTCATTCATTTTATATGCATTCAAATATCAAAATAAGCCTTACTGTAATAACTAAAAGGATTCTTGAACTTGGGACCACTGCTTATCGCTATGTGTACGGCACAACTCTACAGGTGCCTTCAGACTCAGAACCAGCTTGTCCTTTTGTAATGAGAGTTTTTGTTAGATAACAGCAAAGCCTTAGAGAAGGGGCTGCTTGTCTAATCAAGTATTTTAGAGCTACCTAAGGTCCAACTCCACCTAAATTTTGTTTCCTAGGTGAAGAAAGAAGAAGAGATTAGCACCCATTAGACACACATCTCTAAATGTAATGAGCGGAACTGAAGGGATGTCAATATTGCACAGAGCCTTCCACTGTTTAAAAATAAAGCTTAATGGTTGCTCTCTCAGGCTCTTGACCAGATCCCTGTTTGGGAGTCTCATGCCACCACTGACAAAATGTGTGTTGCCTTGGAGACGTTCTCAACTTCTTGGTCTTGTTTCCTAATCTATAAAAATGGAGGTGCTAACAGTGTTTGCCATGTTTTGGCTCTGTGTCCCCACCCAAATCTCATGTTGAATTGTAACCCCCAATGTTGGAGGTGAGACCTGGTGGGAGGTGATGGGATTGCGGGGGTGGTTTAACACCATCCCCCTTGGTGGTGTCACGGCCAGAGAGAGTTATCAGAAGATCTGGTTGTTTAAAAGTGTGTACCTCCTCCTGCCTTGCTTTTCCTCTTTCTCTGGCTGTGTGAAGTTCTCACTCCCACTTTACCTTCTGCAATGATTGTAAGTTTCCTGAGGCCTCCCCAGAAGCATAGCAGAAGTTGCTGTGCTTCCTGTACAGCCTGCAGAACTATGTGCCCATTAAACCTCTTTTCTTTGTAAATTACCCAGTTTCAGGTATTTCTTTATTGCAGTGTGTGAGAGCAGACTAACTCAAGTGTTCACCTTATTGGTTATTTTGAGGATTAAATGAGTTAATCCATTTTCAGTACCTAGGAAATTGTCTAGCACCAGTAAACACTATGGAAGTTTTCGCTGTTAGTATCATGTTTGCAATTAAGGACAGGAATTACAAACTTAAACGTCTCAGGAAACTGGCAGTAAGTAATTTGAGGGAAGTGGGGTAGATGAAAGACAAACTACTGTGTGAGTAGAATGATGGACAGCAGCTAGCCTCAAGCTTGGATGGGGATGGTAATGAGGGCAAAGATAGCTCTCGCTGATGGGGCAGCCAGCTACTTAGCTGATTGATGGCCTCTGGGAATTTGGGCCATAGTTTCACGAAAATATGGAAGCCAAAAGTGACATTCTCTAGCTTTTCAATATTAGCAGCTAATTACGTCTTTAGAATTGGAAAGGTAAAAATATACAAGCCCAACCATGCCTATTTTGTAGGTTGCTTTTTGCCCAGGACCTTCAGTGTGTGACTCCTACCAGGGAAGTGGTATAAAAGCTGAGAGGTACATGCAAAGCCTGTAAAAACTGGTCCTCTACTCCTCTGGGGCTAAAAGTCCTTTATGTTGGGTTGCATTTTATGGTAGCAATATTGCGAAAGATGACAATGACAATTCTGAAAACAAAAAGTCCAATTTAGTTTTTGAAAACTAAGGCAATGGAAGCTGGCTGAATTTCTCCCTAGCGGCAGAACCAGTGGTTTTCGTTAGACCACCTTATGCATGTGTATTGTCACTATAACGTGGAAATAATGTGATAAAATAGTTAGCTCTGCAAATGGCCAACATGCATGGTAAATGCGAATTAGTAGTATTGTTAAAATTTCCTTTTTTTTCCATTTTTACATGGTTTCAGAATTTTAACCTGAATGCAGAAAATACTTTCCCAAATTGTAGATAAGAAAACTTTATTATTTTAAAGATTGGTTGTAGTTGATCAGGGTTTTAAGTTTAGAAAAATGCAAAACGGTCCCTCTAAAGTTCAATTGCATCCCAGCTATAAAGATATTGTGTTTCTAAACTAGCATCATTTACCAAATAGCCTGCTGCCATTGAGAAAATCTCACTCTTCATGCTGTGGATTTTGGTAAAACAAATCTTTCAGAATTCAAATTTGCAAACAAAAAAATGTCCAGCAGTGAACTCAGCATCCTTAGGGAGCCTGTTCGGTAATCAGAAGCAGTGTTTGGTGAGCGTGATTTGACTCCATCCTATACCAGAGTCATTAGGGTGTACTTTCCTTATTTTCCCCAGTTACTGGTTAAGAAATAGGATGTTTTACTGTAATAACAGAAAAGATTCTTGAACTTGGGACCACTCTTGAGAATTCTCATGTGGACTCAGTGACTGCAAATTGAATGTGCTCTGAAACCACCTTGATTATATTAGAAAAAGTTTAAGCTTAGGGCTGTTTTAATAATTGAGGATTTTCCCAAAAGTCATAAATACGAAAGTATGTACAATGTGAAATTCTAAACATTTAATTTAATTTAAAGGCATTTTCTGTATGTAGAAAGCTTTCTTTGCTGTCCAAATAATACAAAAGCTTGGGGAAAAAGGTGGGGGTGGGGAATTGGAAAAATGTCTTAAGCTCAGTCATGAAAAAAATGTGCCCAGCTGATAAAAATTTCACCTTGTTCAAGAAGAAAATAGAATTCCTTCAGCTTTTTCCAATTTCCATTTGTTTTATATATTATATATATAATTTTATATTTATACATATATATTATATATAATTATATATGTTATATTATAATTATATATAATATATATAAATTATAAAATTATATATATAATTTTGCTGCCTCAGATTGCAGCTCATTATATATATATTATATATTATATTATATAATAATATATAATAATTATATATTATATATTATATAATATAATATATAATTATATATTATATAATATATAATATAATATATAATATAAACTATATAATAATTGTATATTATATAATACATTATATATAATATATAATATATGTAATATATAATATATATAATGAGCTGCAATCTGAGGCAGCAAAATTATATATAATTTTATAATTTATATATAAAATTTTATGATTTAAGTTACATATAAAATTTTGTAATTTAAATTATATATAAGTTGTTATAGGTTATATATATTTTATAGATATATGACAACTTAATAGGGTTACTTTGATCTTTGTTACAAAATTGCTTGTAGCTTGTTTGTAACTGACATAACTTACTGGCTTTGAATGATCCCTTAGCAGTAATGAACAGGCCTGAACTCCTTGGACCTTCCCCCACCTGCCATTGTTGAGGGAAAGCACAATGGGACTCAGCTGAACTGTGTCAACATTCTGACTTCCCCCAGTGGTTGACTTGTCAGGGAGAGAAATGAAACCAAAAGTGGGCTGTCACTGCCCTCCTGACTCAGGTCAGTGTGGTCCTGTGGAGAGGGGCTAGAAGGGGCTTTTCAGAAGGAAGACCAGGTGAGTGTGGCTGGAGCCCAAGTGGGAGAGTGGATGCAGGGACAGTGAGGAGGGGACAGCTTGAGGAGGTAGAGAAGTAAAGGCCAGCAGCTGTCGGCACCACTGGCTGAGGTGTCATGTACCCTGGAGACTTGGGAGTCATCCTTCCAGAAACAAATGGACAGGAAAATTGCTTTAGAAGGTCAGTGGAGCTCGGATATCCTACAACAGCCTGTGCTTAGATGGCATATGCTGATTAAATTATTAGAACAGTGTCTCCTACACTAAGCGCTGCATTTCAACCCTCCTGTAGATTCTGTAAATGAAGTGAAGGAATGTGTTATGAAATAATAGCTTTGTGGGGAGTAGCTGCAATCGGAGGCAGCAAAGCAGTGGTCCCTGTGCTAGCCGGAGAGCCACTGCACATGGAAAAAGTTGAATGACAGCACAAGTCTGGTGTTAGAAG